CCAGAGATGGAGCCCGCAACCTGGGCATGTGCCCTGACTGGGAATCGAGCCGTGACCCCCTGGTTCATGGGTTGAAGCTCAACTGCTGAGCCATGTTGGTTGGGCCATGCCCATGGTTTTAAATATTATGTATCAGCTACTAAATTTGTTTTTTTTCCCTATACTATTTTCCTTCTCCATTTTTTCCCTCTATTCTATGTGCAATCTAGAGCTGTTGTCTTGAGTGAATGCCTATAGGGACAGCTCAACCCCTGTCTCCAAGTGCCGGCCTAGGAGCAGTGGGGATGGTGGTCACGTTGGTTCCAAAGTTAAGGCACTTGAATTCTCATAATTGCTCTGCCCCTAACTTGCTACATGATCTTAACCAAATCATGTGACTCCCCCTATGCCTCAGTTTCTTCAACTGCAAAATAAGGGTCTTTAAACTGTTTCTGAAATCCAGACTTCTCAGCCATTAGGGCCTCACCTTAAATTCCACCTGAGGGTTGTTGGGTGCCTTCCCTGGCATGTATGTCTCCTCCTGCTAGACTGAGAGCCTCACGGGGGCAGATCCACCTTTACTTTCTTCAAACTTGTATGTTTAATAATTAGTACAGTGTCCAGGAGGTACTCAAAAGTATTTGTTGACCGAATGAGATATAAATAACCAAATTGTTTCAGATGACAGAATAAACCTGTGGGTTTGACTTTTTTTAAAATGCTTTAGTCAGTCCAGTTCAAGTTCAGCCAGACAAGTCCACAGGGTGTCATAGGCTCTGTGTTTCAGGATGTGATCTAATTTCGAATTGTTTTTTGNGGATGTGATCTAATTTTGAATTGTTTTTTATGCAAAGTTTCGCCCTTTCGTAGGGACTGGTTCCCACATCCACACACACGCACGCTGTCTGTTCTCCTCTAGTGGGAGATTTCCCCGTGAAATCACACTGGTGCTCTCATGAGACCATTTCATTCTTCTTGGCTATTCTGGGTTCACAGACTTTTTTATCTGTGGCCCTTCTGGCAGCTGATATTCTTTCAGGAAATACGGTAGCTGCAGCAGGCTATGTTCCAGTTTGGGGGGTATTTGCATGCTGGGTGCTTTTTACCAGAACACACAATCCCCAAAAGGGCAGGAGCGGGAAGCAGAGTGGTCCAGGCTATGGAAAAGGGAAAGCCATTCCCCGCCTGCCCCTCAGCACCCCAGCAAGGGGAAGCTGTGCGCAACATGCTCAGTTGACAGAAATGAGGCAAACCCTCCTTGAGGTGAACCTGAGGCTGAGATCCATGTCAACGGGAGGCCTCCGTGCACAGCGCGGCTCCCAGCCGCTGAGGAGCTGAGAAATGGAGCATCTTCATCTTCTCCTTTGCAGCGAGAGCCTTGGGCAGGGGGAGCATAGATCGCCTGAGATGGAAAGCTGTTATTAAAATAAACCTCCAGTCACTTAATTCAGGAAGCTTTGGGAATGCTTATAAATAGACCAAAATAGTTATGGCCAAGGAACGTTCTCTCTCACATCTCCACGAGGTGACATTGACCAAGTTACACACACTTGTGTTCTGAGATTGAGGCCCAGCTCCACTTCTGATAAACTGTAGGGCCCTTCGACAAATTACCAGGGACTTTATTTTCTCTTCTGTAAAATGGGCAGCATAGTGTCTACACACAGCTACCATGAAGAGTAAGTCAGACAACACTGATTGAGTGCAAAACACAATGTCTACGACATAGTAGCAACTCAGTAAAAATAACTATTTTTCTATCCCTTGGTAACTGAGCAGAGGAAAAAGTCCTAGAGATGTAGATATTTTCCCTAGAGAATTTTTTTTTATTGACTTGCTCAACCAAACATAGATGAGTAATTCAGCAGCCTAGATGGGGAGGGACTGCCTGCCTTGGGTTATGGTTTGTGGTTTCCAAGGCCATCTCCCTCATCCCCCGCTGTGTTGTTCACCTTCAGATCCCTGCGTTTAACAGAGTGCCCGGCATATAACACGTGCACGCAGTGTTGGCCGGCTGGAATTGAACTCGACCTGCACTGTCCAAGACGGTAGCCACTTTAAGCACTTGAAACGTGGCCGGTCTCCGTCAGTTGTGCTGTATGTGCAAAATACACACCAGATAGTGAAAATGTAATATGGATTACATGAAATGATAACATACTGCATATATTGGGTTAAATAAAATACGTTGTTAAAGTTAGTTTCCTCACTTTCTTGTTCTTTCCTGTGATTACTAGACCTTTTAAAACTACGTGTATGCCCTATATATTGCATTTCCACGAGACAGGGCTGAACTAGACGAGAGACCCCCCCACTGGCTGAAGGCCGTTGCGTGTATCCCAGACTCCTGTCTCTGGGCCTCCTCGCTTGTAAAGATGTAAAGCTCTGTCAGCTGTTTCTGGTTCCTGCATTCTACAGTTTTCTAAACTTTAGGCTGCAGTTTCTTAAGTATGAATACATATTAAGTTGCTCCGATGAGCC